TTCGAACCGCTGACCTTCTGATCAGCAAGCCCAAGAGGCTCCGTGGTTTAGACCACAGCACCACCCACGTCATTCCTATACTATCCAGACACCATGGAGACATTGGGTGTCCTGCCCAGTGGTTCCAGTTCCAGCACATGGTTCCACATCCAGCACAAGCTGGTGCCTGGCCATGAATCTCCTCTCCCCATTTTTAATCCAATTTCCACAGTGGTTGTGGCTCAAGGGCTTTTGGTCACTTTTGGTTGCCTTGTTCCTTCACTGCTTGAGCACACATGATTTTTACAGTGTGCAGTCAGGCTTCCCTTGCGTCTCTTCCAAGGGAGATTCTCCTATTCTTATACCCAAGGTGAGGGTTCCATAGGAACCCAGGGGAAGAACAGACTGGGATTGTGGTCAGCTATTGGGCTGAATGATAGGGACGCGGGTGGTGCTGTGGGTTAAACCACAGAGCCTAGGGCTTGCCGATCAACAGATCGGCGGTTCAAATCCCCACAACGGGGTGAGCTCCCGTTGCTCGGTCCCTGCTCCTGCCAACCTAGCATTTCGAAAGCATGTCAGACTGCAAGTAGATAAATAGGTACCGCTCCCGTGGGAAGGTAAACGGCGTTTCTGTGTGCTGCTCTGGTTCACCAGAAGCGGCTTAGTCATGCTGGTCACATGACCCGGAAGATGTCTGCGGACAAACGCCGGCTCCCTCGGCCTATAGAACGAGATGAGCGTGCAACCCCAGAGTTGGTCACGACTGGACCTAATGATCTAGGGTCCCTTTACCTTTACCTATTGGGCCGAATGACCAACTACCTCAGATGGTTCCATTTTGAGAGGCGAGAAACTATTTGAACCTCTCCGAAACATCTCATCCTGCCACAGAGCACAGGCAAGATACCAAAGGAGGCCTCATATAACAATGGCTGTTGCACCCTTCTTTCCGACCCCCAGCCTTCATGGCAGGTACAGTGTGTATTTCTGGTCCTGTCTCTTTTTACATCGCAGAGTCCTGCGATCTTGCCCATTCCCCGCTCTCACGAGGTTGGTTTTCCTATCGCTTGACATACGAGCTTCTCCAGGAAAGATCCCAAGTTAAGATGCTCATATGCAAAGTGAAAGGACAACAGCCATCATAAAAGGAATACATTAATTTTAGTCAGAGAGCTCTACTGGAGAAGAACTTAGGCCTCAAACACCTCTGAAAGGTGCAAAAACACAGCACTGGAATATTTCCGCTTCTGCAAAAGACATTTCCTTTTGAGGAAAACGAGAAAAGGCTCTCTCAATGGCAAAACCTTGTTCTTAGTGGATCTGAAAACAGCCAGAAATCTTCCTCAGCATTTAAAATGAGTTGGTGTGAGAAGCAGGAGAGACTTTAGCAAAGACATTTTTTGGGAGCTGCTGAAAATAAAAGGTAAAGGTACCTCTGCCCGTACGGGCCAGTCTTGACAGACTCTAGGGTTGTGCGCCCATCTCACTCAAGAGGCCGGGGGCCAGCGCTGTCCGGAGACACTTCCGGGTCACGTGGCCAGCGTGACAAAGCTGCATCTGCTGAGCCAGCGCAGCACACGGAATGCCGTTTACCTTCCCGCTAGTAAGCGGTCCCTATTTATCTACTTGCACCCAGGGGTGCTTTCGAACTGCTAGGTTGACAGGCGCTGGGACCGAGCAACGGGAGCGCTCCCCGCCGCGGGGATTCGAACCGCCGACCTTTCGATCGGCAAGCCCTAGGCACTGAGGCTTTTACCCACAGCGCCACCCGCTCCCTTTTTGCTGCTGAAAATATCTCTTGCCAATTTCCACCAAACGCTCAACAGGTGGCACCAGAGCTTGCCTTTCATGGGAGGCCAGTATAGCTGATTCGGCCTTGAAAAGGGTGAAGCAAACACAGCTTACAATTTTCGTATTGGAGGGAAGCCTTGGAAAGGAGCTTGGAGGCAGGAGAACTCTAGGTCCCCGTCAGAGCACCCACATTTTCCTGGTTTCAGGGAGGAAGCACAAGGACTGGGGTGCCGGGGGGGTGTCAAATGTTGCCTAGAGTTGCCAAAAAAGGTGCCACATGTTGAACCGCCTTGGACTAGGAAATGTTTTACAGCATACACTCATGATGAATTGTGTTGCACTCAATAAAAGCTTCTGCCATAATCACCTGGTATTCTTTAAGGTGCCATAAAACTCTTCACCCTGTCTCCACTGCTGATTAGAGGATGCTGAGGTGAATTAATTATTACTTGGGTGTGTGTGTGTTATTGGGTTGTTGTTTTTATTCTGATTATATATGTGATCTTTTCTGTGAACCGCCCTGAGACCTCCGGGTATAGGGAGGAATAAACTCAATAAGTAACAAAATAATAATAATAATAATAATAATAATAATAATTACTTAGGCTAGGGCAGCTGCAAATGTTCTACACATTTCCACAGTGGGACAGTAAGGAAACAATGCAAATCTCCTTCAGGAGAAGACGACTGTCTATGCCTGTTGATCACTCAGCATTAGTCTGCAAAGCATACCTTAAGACTCGCATAAGCGATGACAAACCTTAACAGCATCTTAAAAAGCAGAGACAAAGGTCTGTATAGTTAAAGCTATGGTTTTCCCAGTAGTGATGTATGGAAGTGAGAGCTGGACCATAAAGAAGGCTGATCGCCAAAGAATTGATGCTTTTGAATTATGGTGCTGGAGGAGACTCTTGAGAGTCCCGTGGACTGCAAGAAGGTCAAACCTCTCCATTCTGAAGGAAATCAGCCCTGAGTGCTCACTGGAAGGACAGATCCTGAAGCTGAGGCTCCAAGACTTTGGCCACCTCATGAGAAGACTCCCTGGAAAAGACCCTGATGTTGGGAAAGATGGAGGGCACAAGGAGAAGGGGACGACAGAGGATGAGATGGTTGGACGGTGTTCTTGAAGCTACCAGCATGAGTTTGACCAAACTGCGGGAGGCAGTGGAAGACAGGTGTGCCTGGCGTGCTCTGGTCCATGGGGTCACAAAGAGTCGGACACGACTAAACAACAACAACAATAAATGTTCTTCCTGCCGCTCCTTATTAGTGATGCAGTATACCTCTATATTCCTTCTAGAAGCCTCATTGTTGGGTAGAGCATTTTGCTAGTGGGGCATAATAATCCATCAAGCCCCATAATAAAGTGTTGGGATCCTTGTGTGGCATGCACTGCTATCCCAAAAGGCAAGAACGGCAGCTTTGAAGTGCATTGGAGCAGTTGCATACATCGATTAATGAATCAGGGCAGAACTGGGAGTGCAGAAAAAGAAATCAGTGGGAACGGACAACCGCTGTGTCATGATCTTTGCCCACAGAAGGCACCGAGAGTAAGGTCACACGCCCAGCACAACCACCCACCTTTGCAATAAAATAATAAATGTATTTATTTCATTTTTCAGCTTCAAACTTTACAGTCACATATCCAACTGAAATGGGGTTTAAAATTCACAGCATGTTATCCATTTAAAGAAAATTATATGAAAATGATGTGCCGTTAGCGGTGCTTTTCCTCTGGGGCGTACACAGGGGTACGCAACCCCCTAAACATTTTGTGACTCTAAGTCTGGCCTCATTGAAGGGCAGTATTTCAACATAAGTAGGAAAATAGAGTACCCCTAAACATTATTTTTAGGGGGGGGAGCACTGACCGTTGGTATTTAACTTTTGCTAGTCAGTTAGTAAAAATGTATAAATGTATACAAAGATGTATAAAACGGGGTCAAACGTACACTGGAAATCATATGTGGTGGAAATGTAAGGTAGTAAAAGAATTTTGGGAAATGATATATAATGAGTTGAAAAAAATGTTTAACATAACCTTTGCTTTAAAAAAAGAAGCCTTCCTTTTAGGAATTCTAGGTGCCGATATCCCAAGGGAGCAGAAAAGAGTATTTATGTATGCAACCACAGCTATGCGGGTGTTATTGGACCAGAAATGGGGCGAAGCTTCACTTGTTTTTTCCTCTCTCAGACATTTTATACTGTATAGTTTGCGGCCAACCACTCCACCTGCCAGAAAAGAGGACATCACTTTGCATTTGACAAGAAGCATACTGTATGTAGATTTGTGCAAATTGTGTCCTCTTCTGCAAGGGCTGACTTCCTTCCCCCTCTTTCTGCAGTTCCTTCAGTTTATTTTTTAATAACTGCTGCATATCCAAATTAATTTACTTTACTCATTTCATTATCTACTCTGCAGGCTATTGCAACAATCCTGCCAATGTTTTTATCCGTTTGCAATTTATTCAAGGAACCATTTCCATTCTTCTATAAAAAGTTCATCTTGATTTCTTATTCTTCCGGCAAGTTTCGCCTTCTCTGCATATTCCTTAAGTATTTTTTATTATCCATTCTCCCTTTGCTTCTTTCCATGTTTTTATCTGTTTGCAATTTATTCAAGGAACCATTTCCATTCTTTTTATAAAAAGTTCGTCTCGATTTCTTATTCTTCCGGCAAGTTTCGCCATCTCTGCATATTCCATAAGTATTTTTTTTTTAAACCCTTCTCCCTTTGCTTCTTTCCATTTTCGGGCAAGTAGCATTCTTGCCGCTGCAGTCGCATACATGAATAAATTTCTATATAATTTAGGCTAGAATTCCCAGTCCAGTTTCAATCCGGCGCCCCCCCCCCCGTACCGCCCGGCTTCTCCCTTCGCGCCGGAGCCGCCGACTCGACGGCTTTTCCTGCTCCACGGAAGCCGCCTTGGGGGTCCGATCGCTTTTCCGACCCCCGGGGTGGAGAGAGGGTCGTCGGGACGGAGAGGAAGCGTGTCCGACGGGTCTCCTTGGCCAGGACGGCGCGCCGCCGCTCGACGGCTGCGCCGATCGCGGACGGGGCGGGCGCAGCTTCGCCCGGCCGCTTCCCGGCTCCTCCTTCCCGGGCGGCGCATGCCGGGAAGCGGCGGCGGCGTGCGCTCTCCCGACCGGAGCTTCCTCGGGGCGGTGCCGTCCCGGGGCCCGCCTCCCCGGGTTGAGGCCGAGGGGCTGCCGCCGCCGCCGCCGGACCAAGGGAGCGCCAGGGGAGCGCGATCGCCCGCCCGCCCGCCTGCGCCTTCCCGCCGCCCTCCTCCCCGCGATGCCCGTCGGGGCCTCCCCGTCGGCCAAGACCCGCTACAGCCTGGTGGACGACCGGCACGACCTGCGCGTCCCGCTGCACAACGACGACGCCTTCCAGCACGGCATCGCCTTCGAGGCCAAGGTAGGCGCCCGGCGGACGGGGCGGGAGGTCGAGGGGGCTCCCGAGCGTGTGCAGAAAGCCTCTCCCTTCCGAGGCGCGCGCGCGCGGAGGTGGTTTCTCCCAGCGGTGCTTAGAGGTGGTGGGGAGGGCAATGGGCTCTGTTCCTTGGGATGAGGCTGTGCACTCTGCACGTGCTCCAGAGCACCCTTGCTCCGCATCTGGATGCCAGCCTCGACGGGGGAGAAGAGACTGTAAGGGCCAGCCCGGGTTCGAGCGCTTTGGACGGGGGGGGGGGGGAGTCCTGCTGTCTCGCAAGGCTCGCCCGTGCCAATGTGAGGAGGTGGTTCCGAGTTTGCTTGTGCCCCCGCGCAAAGGGCACGAGGTCTGCCCAGGGAGTGGGCATCGAGCGAGCTGCCTTTCCTGGGCGCCCCTTCCTGGTGCCCTTTGCTGGGATCTCCCAATAATAACCTCAAATATACCAATTTATAATACAGTTATTAATAGCGATAGCCTGCTGGGATCTCCGAGTCCCGGATTGGCACCTGGCTCCGCTCGGGAGCAGGTGCCCTTTGTCTCTTGTTTGCCAAGCAGGCAGGTGTGCCCTCTTCTTCCCCTCCCTGCCTGGAGAGAAACAGGGCAGCGCTTACCCACCTGCCCTCTCCGCTCTTTGCTTGCTGTGAATCAAGAGGGGAGGCCCTGGGCAAAGGCGGCTGGGCATCTCAGGTTGCTGGTGCCACCTTTGTGCTGGGGTCCCTGCCATGGCACCCGCAGGTGCTGCCCCCTTCATCTTGGGGGGTGGCTTTTGCTTCTCCCCTCCCCTTTTAAAAGGGCATAGAGTTGAAGGACGAAGTTGAAATTCGCTTTGCTTTCCAGTCCTCAGTCAGTCAGAGCGATGGAGAGAAAGGGTGGGTGGGTGTGATTTTGGGGGGAGAAAGTTGGTGCGGGGGGGGGGATGTGGGGTGCCACCGGAGCCGAGGGAGAGAGGGGTGACATCTTCTTCTTCTTCTTCTTCTTCTTCTTCTTCTTCTTCTTCTTCTTCGGCGATCACTCCTAGCCAAGTAAGATTGTCTTCCATAAACACGGTTTTAACAGTGAGTCCATAAGTGACTGTGGAGGCCAATTCTGGATCCACACGTCCTTCCACAGTGGGGGCATAAGTTTCCGGGCGGGAGTTGATCACGGTGTGGATTTGCCTAGTGTGCCTTCCTCTTAGCATGTTTCTCCCTTGCGTCCTGAGTTCGAGTGTCTTCCGAGCCCATGACACCTTTGGTAAAGACTGTTCTCCAACTGGAGCGCTCGCAGGCCAGTGTTTCCCAGTTGTTGGTGTTTATACTACATTTTTTTAGATTTGCCTTGAGACAGTCTTTGAACCTCTTTTGTTGACCACCAGCATTACGCTTTCCGTTTTTTAAGTTGGGAATAGAGTAGTTGCTTTGGAAGATGATTGGGTGACATAGTACTTGAGAAAGGAGGCTGGATCCAATAAAATGAGTAGCTGAATGAAATTGCATTTTTAAAATGTGTCGTTCCCCCCCCCCCCAGCAACCCCTGTCCTGCTTCACCCTTCACCTCAGCCAGAAAGCTTTCTCTCTGCCACATACTTTTGCACAGCCTCATAATGTAACCAGACTGCGTTATGCTGATCTCCCATTGCTTAAAACAATGACAACAACCTATTGCTCATTCCGCCTCTAAAGCATGCAGCACTGGCCTTATTATTATCATTATTTATTGAATTTATATTCCGCCCTATACCTGGGAGTCTCAGGGCGGTTCGCAGAATAAAATCAAAATATAAAACCACAAAATACATAATGAAAACAACCATCCAATAGCTCCCCCAAAAAACACATTTTAAAAGGGCATAGGATGTCAATCAGGTCAACCAAAGGAATGTGTTTGGCTGGCGCCTAAAGGTGTCTAATGAAGGCGTCAGGCGAACTTCCCTGGGGAGAGCATTCCACAGACAGGGAGCCACTGCAGAAAAGGCCCCGTTCTTGTGTTGCCACCCTCTAGACCTCTCAAGGAGGAGGCACACGAAGGAGGGCCTCAGAAGATGATCTCAGGGTCTGGGTAGGTTCATATGGAAAGAGGCAGTCTTTGCGGTGTTGCAGTCCTGAAGGTTTTATAGGTCAAAACCAGCACTCTGAATTGGGCCCGGAAACTATTGGTAGCCAGTGCAGTCGGACCAGGATTGCTGTAATATGTTCAAACCGTCTTGCTCCGGTGAGCAACCTGGCTGCTGAATTCTGCCTTATCATACGGCAAGCAAGGGCAGGAAGGAACGGAAGACAGAAGCAGGCATTGCATCTTAGCAGTGCCAGGGAGGGGAGTGTGGGAATAGGTTGGACTCGTGGATATAGCAGCAGACCATCTGGTGTGGGGCTCCGTACGGAGACAACTCACCCATGTGAGTAAGTGTAGGAGCGGAACAAAATGGGCAAGTAAGAGGAAATTTGAGCGTCCGGGGAGGGAATATTGTGATCTGCTGTGGAAAGACACTTGGTTTTGCAAAGCAGCATGCATGAAATAAATCAATAAATCAAATTAGGCGGACGTAAACAGGGACGCACGTGGCACTGTGGGTTAAACCACAGAGCCTAGGGCTTGCCGATCAGAAGCTTGGCGGTTTGAATCCCCACGACGGGGTGAGCTCCCGCTGCTCGGTCCCTGCTCCTGCCAACCTAGCAATTCGAAAGCACGTCAAAGTGCAAGTAGATAAATAGGTACGGCTCCGGCGGGAAGGGAAATGGCGTTTCCGTGCGCTGCTCTGGTTTCGCCAGAAGCGGTTTAGTCATCCTGGCCACATGACCCGGAAGCTGTACACCGGCTCCCTCGGCCAATAAAGCGAGATGAGCGCCGCAACCCCAGAGTCGGTCACGACTGGACCTAATTGGTCAGGGGTCCCTTCACCTTTACCTATTGCAGCAAATAGACTCTGGGAGTTTTGTAACCTGCACCGACACAGAATCACAAAAAAGTCCACACCAGCAATTGGTACCCAGATGTCCCTTCATGCTTATGTATGTTCCATCCTATGTGTTATCCAACTTAGTGCTACATTTCCATGTTGGATAAAAGTAAGTAATATTCATGAACGATGCCTTATTATGCATTTGGACAGGAACTCTATTGCCCTCTCATCATTAGACTGCTGTTTGTCTCCCATAATCATTCCCCCCCCCCTCTTAAATTGCATGCAGTGATTATTTTCTTCTTTTTTTAAAAAAAGTATCGGGTTTGGCACATTTTCACCTGTTCACCAATCCCCTGTTCATTCTGTGTGTAGTTGTGAGGCAGGGTTCTGACATCGCCCAGCCCTGACTAGTTCTGAATGTTGTCGCTGTTTTATTAATTTTTTCATTTTACATGTGCATCAAAGCAATTAACAAACATGTCATTAAAACATTATAGAATGTCATTATTGCTCTCTGCTATCATCATGAATTTGCACGTGTGACACAGACACTTCTGGCTACACGGGGCCTTGTGTTCATTTTTTAATTTTTATTTTCGTAAGCTGGCAACATGGGTTATGATGAACTTTAAAGCCCTAGCATGCTTGCAAATAGTTGCTTTCCTGGTTGCTTAGGACAAATAAGAATTGCCTAGGTAACCAGGCAAGAACTTAGCTCTTTCTTGAGCACAAATGAATCACACAGATATGTTGGGGCGGGCAGACTAGGTTTTTTGTTTTGTTTATGATAGATATTTAGTTAGAGTTAAATAATGTGGGGGGTGTTATTATTTTTGTTTGTTACTATGTTATGCAGTTTTGTATTTATATATAAGGCCCTGGGAGCCTTGGATAAAAGGTGAAATAAAATATATGAATGAATCAATAAAATAAGAGTTGGGCAGATTTTCAAATGTTGATTATTGTTAAGAAATTAACTTCACTGGAACAACAAAATGGTTTTGACTTTCCCCAACTCTCCATAATGTAATGTCTCACTTGCAGCAGTATTTCGTATGTTTACTTCAGTCGGCGCCTCTCACCTTCCATGGGGCAAGCAGAATTTAGTTCCACACATCTCGTCGCATCGTTTCCCTAGCTTGGAATTTTAATGGGACTCACTTCTGACTAGACTGCATTCACTTTTCTGATGTTTCCTTACCTGATTTTTTGAATACGTTTTATGCCATCTTTCCCGTGACATAAAAGCCACTTCTAGAAATCTAGTGGGAGTTTAGCACTCATTTCCATGTTAAATTGCTTACGGGGAGGAAAAATCAGTTTGCAATATTGTTAACCTGGAAAATCACAGGAGTTTTGCACTGCAATTTGGCAAGGTTTTCATGGCTCAAGCCATGGGCTGATATTCCAGCATGCAGTTATTTCCTGCCAATTTTGTGAGTGAAATGGGGACGGAGGGACTGGGGACAGAAGCCCTGCTGTAGAATCAAGATCAATGAAATGCTGAATCTTCTTGTCAGCTGGGGAGATGGTTGTCCCATTAGCTGGCCTTATTTGAGGACTGTAGCCATTATTTAAGATATTGCTTCCCATTGCTAGAATGAAGTGGACAGGACAGTGATGGGTGCAAAACACGACCAGATCCAGATGTTCTCTGGGTGATATGTGACTGAGTGTGTGGTTGACGGACACCATTAAAGGAACATCAGAGATGTTGTTCTTCTCTGTGTTAATCTCTGAGTTAATGCTCAGGATGCATGATGTCAAGTGCAAAGCATGGAGATTCTGAGCTGTACTGAAAAATGTAATGTGTAAATGGCCTTTAAAGGGTATTGCAACTCTTAAGATGGGCAGTTCCAAGGTGCTGGCATTTTAGGCCATCTTCTGAATTTGCACTGCTTGCCCTTGAATTTCTTCGGAAGGTTCAGTTCTTTTTGGCAGATTCAGTTCTTCCGCCTCTCCACAGTTACACACATTAGCCTTGCTGACATATTTAGCATTCAATATTTCCATAGCTTGATGTAGAAAGTTCCTCTGATATCGATGTTTCCAAATGGTGGATTTTCCCAGAATTGTTTGAGTATTCTTTCTGCAACCTTCTGAT